AAAAAAAAAAAAAAAAGAAAAATCAAGAGAATAATTGGAAGCATGGGTGTCACCTGGGAGGCGTAGAAGGCCTGTTACAGGTTCGGGCTCACGGATTTAAAGTGGGGCCAGTGGGTTTTGTTGGATTCCATCAGGATTATGGTTTCACCAGAGGAATAGGACAAAACGAGGCAGAGGCCAGTGAGTCCGGAGTTTACCCAAGGTCGTGATGATAATGGAGGAGAAAGCACGTGAGTCTGGAGAGGGACAGCGGGAAGGCGACAGGATGGAGGGATTGGCGGTCCCAGCAGGGTCGTGGGCCTGCGGTATGGGACGCTGTGTGGAGCGAGCTGGAAGACAGGAGTGGTGGTCAGAGAAAGAGGTCCCTGATGTGGGATCCTGAGGGGGTGGTTTGGAATGGGAGGTCTGGAAACAGCCACAGTAGAGAGGTAGGCAACATCGTTGGAGGAGGACGTTTCAAGGACCCCGGAGGCCGGCTTATTGGAAGGATCCTTCCTGCATGTGATGAAGCAGCCAGGTGGTAAGGTAGGAGTGATGTTGGAAAGAGTCACAGTGAGCCGGGGGCAGGGCCGTCAGTACATGACGCAGCAGTGAGACGGGAGAGGGCGGGTTTTGTCTGATGGCGTAAGATCCAAGCGGAGGTTTTTCTACACGAGTCTAGAAGCAGCAGGGAGGAGCGAATGCTCAGAGATGGAGAGGCTGTGGGGACAGACACACAGCTGAGTCCTCCGGGGACAGCGGGGATGGGTTAGGGCCAGGTGACAAGGAGGGGTCAGAGGAGTGAGGACGCTTTTGAGTGGGGTATCGAGGGACAAGAATTCTTGTCCTGTAGGGCAAACCTACAACACAGCACACTATTCCGGGTGTCCTCATGTACTGTTTCTAAATTCCATGACCGTCCTGCACGATCGTTTGACCCTGGCTGCAGAGGTCACATGACACTGATGCATTGCCCAGAACCGGGATTCGAACCCAGGCCCATCAGATTCCATATCCCATGCTCCCTCCCCCAGACACAGAACTTCAAAATGGCACCCAAGTCTCGGACCTCGGGGAAAATAACCTGGCAGCAGTGAGTGAAGTGGCCAGGAGGAGGAAGAAACTAGCAGGAAACTCGTTACTAAATTCTGTCAATTCCAAGAAACATTGCTTGGATGCCTTTTTTAATTACTTTATTTAATCTATCTATCTATCTATCTATCAATCTATCAATCTATTATCTATCTATCATGTATGTATTTTGAGAGAGAGAGAGAGAGAGAGAGAGAGAGAGAGAGAG